GCTTTACTGCTTTGGGCTTCTCCAGCATTGAACACTTTTCTCCGATGCACAGAATTCTCGTGCCACCAAATTGCCGTGCGCTTCCGCTTACTTGATAACTTTTTTTCTTAAAGCCTATTTTAAGCTGTTGTTGACTACCACTCATTTCTGAAGGAAATAGAAAAACAACAACAGCAGATTGACAAAGATAACCGAAGCGAAACGGCGTTGCTAGTACACTGTACTGTAGGCCTTGCCTAGCCTTGCTCAACGGCACCGCTGCCGATACTCACAAAGCAATGAATGGAGGCTTTTGACTTTAGCTGTCCATTGCCGAGAGACTTGCACATTTTTTTACTTCCACATACACATACAGACTTCCACATACAATTGACAACTGCTTAGTTTTGAGAAAGACTAGAAGCACTCCAGAAGGATTTTTATTTGAAACTGCACATCTGCGTTTAATATGGCTTTCACGTTTGAATTTTTTCCTGCACCATTTAATTAAAACAATGCCAGAACCACTTGTTTCAGTTCATTGGTGCACTTCAGTACACACTTCCTACATTACACACCTAGTGCTTTTCCATGACCACTCGAATGACTTACTAAAACATGGGTGTTGCGCTACTCTGTTCCTATTGAAAAAATATTAAGGACGCAATCGACAGATGAAAAACAAGCGCCCTATTCTGTTTCCTTCCTTTTTTTTGTCTATGTGGATTGCGTCCTTGATATTTTTTTCATTACTCGAATGACATTTAAAATGCTCTTTTTTATAAGTTGTGCTAATGAACACCAGATTTCAATATTCCTAAATTAATGTTTACTATGACATCTGTGTACTTAAAGAATTTCATTTTAATAAAAGTTATAATAATAAATTGTTTTTCCGAAATATTGCACAAGAACGTGCGATCTGGAAAAAAAATCACCTACTTGTACTTCGAAATACAGTAGACTCACATTCAAGCTCTTGTTGTAAAGTTGTTTGAATGTTTGAACAAGAAGAGGCAAAATAAACTAATTTCTGCTGCTTGACGGGAGCCTTCATACAATGCATATACCGTATTTACGCGATTTGAGCACCCCCCGATTCTAAGCACCCTCCCTTGTTCTCACCATAAATATTTTGGAAAAAGTTTGCTTGCGAATCTAAGCAGCCCTCTTTTTTTTCTTTCTGCGAACATGGCGCAGTCAGGGTCGCCAAGCGCGCCCTCTCTTTGCTAGTTTAGGAAGACGCTATGTCGTATGTTGCTAGGTTTACACAAGAGAGGGCGGCACAAAAGTCGGCGGCCAGTAAAATTCACAAATCCGGACAGGTTGCGCTGACTTAGCATGCGCACATTTTTTCGTCAGCTTTTCGATAGCCCTGACATAAGTCAGAATGAGTGCAAAGAGGGCATCCTACAACTGGAAGTTTAAACGAGCTGCGATCGCGTTTGCGGAGGACAATGGCAACCATAGCGCTGCTGCGGAATTCGGCGTGGACCGAGCCTGTATCATAAGGTGGAGGAAGCAGCGGGACCAGATTTTCAAGGGCGCCGCGACTCAAGAAATTTACAGGGCTGTGCAAGGGCCCACACGCCGAACTCAAAGATTCCCCACGCCGTGTTCCATGCTAGCCGTGGCTGGGCAGAGTGCATGATGCGAAGGAATATATTTTCTTTGAGACACCGGACCACGACATGCCAAAAGCTGCGAAGCGATTTTAATAACAAACTCGCTTTTCAGCAACATGTGCTGGATTTCCGCAGACTCAACAGCCACTCTCGAACAAGCAAACCTAGTGAGTGGTTTGCACACAGACTGAACTAAAAGGCAGTGAAGTAAACAAATGATAGCACTTCGTTGCAAACAAAAGAAACACATGAACTTTCTAATAAGCAAGCCTATTGTTGCCAATGTAACAATAGTGAAATTGCACAATATAGATAATTCCTCTAGGAAATATTAAAGCAAGGCTCTCAAACGCACCTACCTAGGACCGACATTTTGCTAGTAGCCCAGACCACACGAATGCCTATGTCTCACATTTATTTGTTTTTCTAATTATCATGTCCATGAGCTGCACAGACATAACTAGTGTCAAGCATTTTTTTTCTTGAGGCACCCTAAACAGTCATGTTTTGCAATAGAACCGCGGAACAAAAAGCTATTTTGGAATCCAGATTTAAATCATTCTGGAGATCAGTGTCCATATGCTCCTCAAATCCTGATGTCAAATCTCCTCTACATAAGTGGCACGCATGCAAGATATAGGAAACTTTTCAAATAGCAACATTGACTGACAACCCCAGCCCCAGTCTTGACAGTTGTGGCCCCTGTGGTGCTTCATTGCCGTCGACTGCAGATGGAGATGTACTTGCCGTTTTGTCAGCGCAGCACCACGAATATTTTTCACTCCGTCCTGCATGAGAGCCAGGTAACCCCACGAAATAATATCTTGGCCACGAGAGCTCATTGAAACAGCAAATGCGCCAGCGCCGAACCATCGTATATGCAGCGGTAGCAGTCGGCCACATCTACAATACAAATGGTGCGAAACTGGCCATCCCTTTCCCCTATTAGAACGTTGAAAACAGTGTGCGGGAGGTGGCAGCACATGAAAACAGAAAAGATGAATTGAAGTGTGGCAAATCGCTGTAACTGCACTTGTACTTGACAGATTAGAAAGACTTCTGAGACAGTCTTAGCGTGGCAGTGACAGTCTTAGTATGGCAATAAGGTCTCTTAACGAAGCCACTGAACAATCACCTCGAAAATGTTGCAGGGTCCTTTCAAAGGTGCCTTGCTTAGGCAGCATTACATAAGGAATAGTTTTTAAAAAGATAAAGCTGCAGACAAACTGCCTCTTACATGTTCACTATGGATCCATATCACACCAGTGCAACGTGCTGCTTCTCTTCATGCTGGAAAAGCTTTTTCATCCAGCTTTTGCCCAATAACTGAATTGTACATGCCCTTTGAACCGGCAGTTCTGCGACTTATCAGAGCATGCACATGAGTACACATTAAATGAATACTTATCAGTATTATGGGTAGTAACCAGAAGATGTACAAGGTATTATCCTACCTCCTGAACTATACTTCAGGGCAGTAACAGAATGTGAAAAAGATTAGACACGCATTTACTTACAGTCCATAACCTGAGTGAAATGAATATTAAAGCCTACTGCCCGGTTCACTGCTCCTTTCAGTAAAATAATTGAACAGCTTCTGGACAAACGTAATCTGGTTGAATATTGTCACTTTTGGCTGTTTGAGCAGTGGAAGATCAATAAGCTTGTTGAAATGTCCTAACTACACCATTATAAATTGCTTGCCATATAGAGAAAGGCCACCGACCTGGTCACTAAATGATAATAGACAGTATCAATACGATTTAACTATGCTAATTGAAAAGTTTAGACAACTAAAAACAACACATGTATTTCATTTTAGTACTGCAAGTGTAACTTGAAATGACAGCACCGTGGAAAATGAGGTTGCAAGATAGGTGGAATACAAGCCACACAGTGCCTGCATGGTGTGTGTTCCTTCAGTCTGTTGTCCTTGTTTTGTTGCGCTGCCCATTTCAAGCTACATAATGAATTCCAACTTTCCCAGATGTCAATTCTTTTTCAAGTGTAAGTTGAATTCTACAAGGTAACAGCAAGACCCCAAAAAATAAATGGAATATAAGGACTTTGCAAGTGCTTTAGCTATTACAAGGCAACTAGTGTGGAAAAACACATGCGGAACTGAACTTGAAAGACTAGCAAAGAAAACTTTCCATGAACTCACCAGTGACCATGCACAACTGACAAGAGAAAAGTACATCATCAATTGCACTTAACTACCCAGGCACCAAAAAAAGTTCAGATTAATATTCTATTGAATCCCACATTTTACACCTAGATTTTTCTATCAAGCCTATTTTACCAAATCAACTACGAAACAATAGCTGCCGGAAAACTTCACTGTAGTGAGGTCTATTGAACTTGGGGAAAGAAGCAGTAAGGGAAGTCAAAACAATATTTCTTGAAACTGGAAGAGCAGCCATCTTCCAGTCACACCTGCTACAGAAATACTTCGTTATATCAAAAAATTCGATATAAACATACTCATCGCATTGCATAATGAAACTATTCACTTAATCCATTACAACCAATTCTTTATATCCACATTACACCAAGGTTTGAGTGCATATCCCTTTGCTTCTATAGGCTCATCCATAGCAGACAGGCAAAAGCTTCAAATTTTCACAGCGAAAATCCACCGATTGTGCTGCTGCCATAAGGCAGGATGGGTCCTATGAAACTTCGATAAGTTTTGATAAAGCAGACGCGTCCCTGCGAGTTTCAGTGTATCATAAAAGCAACAAAATACCTATGTGATCAACAAATACCCAGAGTGCATAACGTTGCCCAATGGCACCCACACTCGCAGCTCCAAGATTTGCAAGCTCACACACTACTCCCCAAACACAAATTGTTGAGTCAACAGAATCTGCTGCTAGAAAATCTTGGGGAAAAAGCCATTTCTGATTTTTCTGGACCATGAGCGAGTCTTTAGCTAGAAACAAATGCATGGCTGAGAAATCCACGCAATCCCTTGCGTGGATTTTACCCCACCTTTCCTTATGCGGTCTGGTTTGACTGGGGCCGCTCCTGAACTTTCCTTCTTCCGTACTAATGGAACACACAGGGTCTTTTGTTCAAAGTTAAGGGAGCAGACATATTAACAAAAGCTTTCCTTGTTTTATAAAATAAGACAAGGTACTGTGCTCTACTGTACCATGTACAGTATGGTTCTCTGTTAAAGGGAACTCTCTGATGAACACCAATATTGCCGCCTTGTAACAGCAAATGAGTAAGAAAACTTTCATGAATGTCACTCATCTGTCAAAAAGTGTCTGAACTCTCAACCATAGCAATCTTATGCAAATCAAAGCCACTATGCGTGTTCCCTTCAACAGTGGACGCATCTGTACATCCTATTTTGCCGAGCACATGAAGCAAGAAGTAGAAGCATACCTGGTCACAAAGCGGACACCGCGGATGGCATCCGACAAGGCACGAACGTCCTCCTTGGTCACTTGGCTTGACATGTTTCCAATGTACAATGAACGCTTGCACACATCATCTGCTTCAAAGGAGGAGAAGGAAGCTGACAAAACAAATTTATAGACAAAGCAAAGTTGATATTTTACAATGAAAAAGTTCTTACCCCAAATGTAACGATGCGACTCTGGGATGCTTTCTAATATCGGGAAAAAAATAGAGTTGGAAATATATAAAGAACAGTGAAATAACATGAAAACAATATCGTACATGGCATAGCCAGTATTTGCAATTAAATAACCAAAGGATCAGAGGGCTCAAACCCAAATTCAATTTATATTGCTGAATGGTCAGTTCAATTTTACTACAAGCTTAAAAAGCGAAAATAACCACTACCGATGACGGAAACGGTACATTTTCGTGCTTCCCATGCCAGGTAGTACTCCCGTGTACCGCAACATTAGAAGTACAAGAGATTGCACAGTGCTGTCGGCTCGTAAGCTTCTGCACTTGTACAGCAGCATGCAAACCTACTAGACTGCAACATACAAGCAGGGAGACCACATAAGACATACCATCAAAATCAACACGTGGCCTTGTGTCTGAACGGTCCCTAGGAGTTCGTCGCTGATAGGACCGGCTCCCACCTCGTGAAGGAGTCCCTTCCTGATCAGTGCCCTCAGGCTCGCTCTGGCTGTGGCTTTCCCCCTCCTTTCTGGGCTTGGGCCGCTTAAAACGACCACCAAGGCTGCCTTCACTCACACGGCCATTACGACCATTGGCACGGTACGGTGCTCGTCTCCTGACCCCTTGAACTTCTCCAGCTACTTCAACAGCACCTGCTAGACATCACACACACTACATTGTGGCACCGTACAATATGCATTTTCACAGCATCACAAAAATTTAATGCACTCATTAAATGCTTACCCCCCCCCCCCCCCTTGTTCCCATGTTCTTGGACTGGAAACCGTACTTTATAATAGAAGCCTGTGCTGGCTCAAAGACCTCATTTCGCTTTCTTGAGGCTGCCTAAATGCTTCACTGCCCGCCGAAGTGCAGTAATCTGAAGCAATTGTACCAGTATATACACGAGAGGTGGTTATGGAGTCTTGGGAACTTACTTTAATCTGGCACACTCACTACATATCCTTACTCAAGCGCCTACGTACAGCAATTGACTAAGTGCACTTAAAAAAATACATGCTTGCTCGTGATTTGATTGATTGATTGATTGATATGTGGGGTTCAACGTCCCAAAACCACTATATGATTATGAGAGACGCCGTAGTGGAGGGCTCCGGAAATTTAGACCACCTGGGGTTCTTTAACGTGCCATGCTTGCTCGTGAATGTGCCCTTAATAACTATCAAAGGAAACCTCCCGTACTTCATCGGTTGACATGGAAACAAGGCTAGATACTTTTTAACATCCAATCTCAGTTGGGAACCACATATAGCGACTATTTGTGCAAAAGCGCAAACAAAGCCGTCACTTGTCAAGAGAAGACTTGGGAACGCGCCTCCCGAGGTTAAACTAACTGTATATAAGACGCTAATTAGACCGGCACTAGAATATGCCGACATAATTTAGAGTCCCCATCACAAATTTATCATAAAAAAAAAATTGAGCGAGTTCAAAACTTAGCACTTGTGTTTCCAAGTTATTCCCTACCAGTGTTACAGCTCTGGGTAAAAAAGCAAAGCTGTGTTGTCTCGATCAACCCAGAATAATTTCTAAACTTAGATTTCTGTATCATTTGTATAATGAGCATTATAAAATATCCAAAACAGAACATCTTCAACCCCTCAGACACTCCTCAAGAGCTAACCACAACAAGACAATAGGGCTGCCTAAAGGTCACAATGACATTCATAAAAACTTTTTCCATCATCAATAGAACACGAATAGTCAACGATCATCTACAGTAAACTGTGAAACAGTAGAATCTTTTGCTCAAGAAATCAGCAACATTTTTTGTTCTAGCTAGTGTATTACAGTTTCGTATTATGCTCACACGGGATTTAAACAATATCCTTGAAACTGTTGACCATGCAGCATTGAACCGATTTTTTTTATTAATGTGACCACTCTCGGCAAAATTGTAATAATTTTATGTATTACCACTTCTGCTTGGAACACAAGTTTTGTACTAATAAATGTAGTGCACACCAATGCTGCAGAGTTGCCACTTTGGAACTGGAATGAATCTAAAATCATTCCACATTTTCTCAACTCCAGAATGGAATAGGAACGGAATGGTGCAAACATTGGAGAAATAGAATGGAAATAAAATTAAACGCATTTGCCACGGAATGGAATAGGGATAGAATTAAGTCTTTCCAATAAAAGAGCCACATTTCCTTCAACGTGCCGTTTATCAAAATTGCAACGTTAAGTCAGACCAATGAATTTAACAGCAGAGCAGTAATTTAAAAATGCTTGTCTAATTACACGTGTGGTACATTTATAAGGAACGCATCTACTACAATTCTGTCCTTATTTAGACTGTTGCTCTGAAGTTTTTCTCTATTCTTGGCGTAACCACGGCTTTGTGCCATGGTATCCGTCTTACGGAAATGTATCGTGACGGCATACCCATCTTACACTGTGACATTTCCCCCCTCAGCCGCCTGCTGTCTCCTCATTTTTCTTTTTGTTTCTGCTTCTACCACCATCGACAACTGACTCATATCCGTAAAAGTGCTTCTCTTCTGAAATTGTGATGCACGTTAACGCTGATTTGAGGCTTGTGTTTACTGCAAATTTTCGTATACCAGCTTGTGCAGCCTCGCCACATATTGCACCCCCCCCCCCCCTTTTTTTTTGCAGTACTGTACCCCCTGCCTACACAAATGGGCGCCTTTGCTTGAAACTCTGTGGGTGAAGGTCTGTTAGTCAGCGCAGCACACATTCGTACACGACGAACTCTGCGATGTGTGAACTGTGTGTGTGATGAACTGTTGTACAAGATGAACCGTACAGAAAGATACAACAGACTTGAAAGCACTGGCTGGCACTAGTCTGGGTAGCCAGCCAAAGCAGGCGATACCAAGTAACCAAGGCAACACCACTCTGAATCTCTACAGGGAGATTCGCTAAGTCGTCATTTTAGCATTAACATATTTAGGCTTGAACGATATTAAAGCTTCATTTGCTTTAACTTGCACTCTTAGAAAAAAGGCCTGCTTATTCACTTAACTAAATACCAACCATTTACTTGTCACAAAAAGTACTAACCTCCTAGTAAGTGAAGGTGGTAAAATACAGAGTAGTGAAACTAGCTAGTTTTTAAAGTAGTTAGTCAATAGTGCCGACTTGAATAATGAATGCATTAATCTTTAGTTAACAGACCCTTACACGTGCATGTACATTGCTACATCAAGATTATTCAATTACAGAAGTAGATTTTCCCACACACATTTACAAGAAGCAGAACTGGAATGTGCTGCCGCTGCTTTATACACTCCATCTTTTGTGCTCATTATCAAGCATAACTGTTCGCCGGCCCAAACCTAGAATGTGTTAGGTACTCTGTTGCTACCACTGTCCTTGCCATAAGAAGCAAAACTAAAAAACTTGCTACGACTACAACCTATGCGACGATATGAAGAGTACCCACCCGGTGATTGCGTTATGGTATGGACACCAATCCATCGCCGTGGTCTCAGTGAGAAGTTCCTGCGCCAGTATTTCGGACCTTACAAGGTAACCCGACGGCTCGGGTCCCTGATCTACGACATTGTCCCTGATTGAGTGACACTATCTCAACAGCAGCACATGCAACCTGAAATAATCCACGTCGAGCGCCTCAAAAAGTTCTTTCAGTGCTGCCGGACTAAGACATTTTAATCTCCTGCACCTTGTTGTATCCAGCAATTTTGTTTGTAGTGTCCTGTTTTAGCATGAAGACCATGCTCTTCCTTGTGGAGGGGCCATGGCACACGCATTTACGAGCAGAACTGGAATGTGCTACCGGCTTCTTTCTCCGCTCCAGCTTTCGTGCTTGTAATCAAACATTACTGTTCGCCTGCCGAAGCCAGAATGTGTTGTGACGAAAGAACATAAGAGATTGCTGCATTTTTCTGAGAGGGGATCCCCTCACGGGTGCTGGAAGGGGGTGCAAAAGGGGCACTTACACCCTTCAAGTTCATCCTTGCCTCCTACCCAAGCTACACCAGGGCTCTCCCACACCCCAGGTCGTGTTCAACACGACCTCGCAGTGCTAGAGAAGGATCCCTGCATAATATCTACGGGCGACCATGCTACATTCCCAAATTATGTGATGATATGTTGCCACTGCCTGGCACTGTTTGCATTGTAGCTTTGTCTCCTCCGGGAATATTTTGTTCAAAGCGTAAGGGTTGTGAAAAGATCGCACCTGCAGTTTTCCCCAGACGCATTCCTGTGCTTTAGTAAACAGCTTGTGCGGGGACGAATAAAGCCCCCGCTCCAGTTTATAATTGTTCGTGATGTGAAAAAACACCAGCCCATGTCTCGCGGACCTCCAAAAAATGACGGCTCACCTACCCGGCTGACGAAACCTCGAGCATTCAAGTGAGCCGCCTCGTTCCCAGGGTTCCAAGAGTGTGATGGTACCCAGACAATTTCTATTTCTCAAATTTCTCGCCCCGTGACCCCATGCAGCAATTGTGCGGCGGTTACTGATATTCTGTCCCTCGCCAATTTTCAGATGGCCGTCTTTCGAATCGCTGAGATTAAAGTTCGACTGACAATTAGTTACAGCTAGTGCTATTGCTGCTTCCTCTTCAGTTTCTGAGGAGCGGGTTTCGATTAATACAGAGGCAACCAAGGGTCCCCGTCTGTCCACCACCACAATCAAAAAACAAGATTCGTGTCTGTCCTTATATTCCGCGACTTATGTATAGACTGCCGCTTCGTACTTCCCGTACTCAACATGTAAAGCTCTGGCTTTTGCCTGCCTACGTTGCTTATGATGAATCGGATGCATATTTTGGGCAAAGATTTAATGTATAGGGCCTTGTGCAATTCTTGCCGCATATGAGTTTTAGTGCTCCCAGCAGGATCCTCAGCCCCAATGCCAATATTTTTCAATATAATCCTGCCCGCTTTGGTTGTCGAAAGCCTGGCGTGCTACGTCACCAGGTGCGCGTCCCTTAGCTCATCTAGGGAGCTGTGCACCCCTAGTTTTAACAGCCTTGCTGTAGCTGCATTGTTAGGCAACCCAAGGGCTGCCTTGTAAGCTTGCCTGATCATAGCCTGAATCTTGCCTTTTTCTGTAGCATCCAAATTGATATAAGGCGTGTAAGTAATCCTGCTGAGCATAAATGCCTGTACCAGCTTAACCTAAATATAAATGCCCCATCTGAAACTGAACTGCTCAAAATAAAGTGAAAAAAATGACCCTTTCACTTCAAATCCTAGTACTTTATTTCAAGAATGAGCAGATTGCTTTGCACTGGCACATTGAACAGGTACTCAGCTCTACATAAAAATGATCACAGCCAAAATGATCAGTGGAAAATAGCTGAAAATTCTCTATTAGTTCATGAATTTGAGAAGTTTATGAATCCTTCATGAATAGCATTGACCAAAATTCATGTTAAACAAATGCCACATCGCCCCAAGGAGTCACATCTTGACTTTAGGCTAAAACAATCACTGATATCCTTTTTCATAAGGTCTAAACTTAATGACATTCAACCTGATGAATGTCAATAACAGCATCTTTCATGAAATGAGCAACTCTAATTAAAAATGAACAAATGAACATGCATCTAAAAGTTTATACTGCCTTCAGCGCTAGTGAAAGAGTATTAATATTACCACTGTGGGGTAAACCTTTACAATACTGTAACATCCATAGCAACTCCAGGCATTATAAGTTCATCCTGGGTATATCGAACTAGAATATATAGAATAATTTGCTGTATTAAACAGTTGATAAAACCCTTCAATGTCCCATGCAAAAGTATGGCACTGTTGCACAAGTATATCGAACTCCCGCAAAGCATAAATTCCGATAAATCGAACACTGCTCCAGGCCGTAGCCCAGACAGTGCACCTATTCCGACAAAAATTGCTCATTTTTCGGTCGCGATATAACAAGTTTCGATCACTCCTCGCATGCAGGTGACGAGAAGGCGGTGTAATTGGTTGCACAGAGTTCGCAAGGGCACGTGATGCGCCATCTGTTGGTTGTAACGCGTAGACATTGTTCCCAAAGGGGCCAATTGCTGAGGGCGCCAAAATTGCATAAATGCTAAGTGACTACACTGGACAACTTTTCTTCGCAATGAAGGAAAAGCTGTGGGGGCGGAGCTACTTCACTTGTACCTTCCCGCGAAGTAGTCTGGTACGGCTAGCATTTCGAATGATTGCTGGGGGGCGACAAGCTCACCTTAGGGTCCCTCGAATGTACTCTCAAGACCATACTCGCCTGAAGACACCATTTTGACTATAGGGTACACGTAAAACGTGTGATGTTCCCGCACGAGCAAAAACGTGAAATGACAATGCATAAAGTAAAACTAATAAGAACATTATCTTGGTGCGTGCTGCTTATCTTTATGAACAGCACCTTGTAGAAAATTTCTTTATTATTATCACACGAAAAACTGATGCAATTGTGGAACCATACTCTGCACCTTAGTCACCCCCCATTGGCATCGTACCCATCCCTTGATTGCACGGCCTTCAAAATCCGCAACCTAGACTTATTTTTGGCATTCGCAGTTTATAAATACACATCTCTGAGGCTATCTTTTTCTTGTTTATCGCTTGCTGCTAGGAATCCTCTAGTGCCATCCCCAAGAATCAATGGTGGGATGCATGGTCACTGGTTGTTTGTGGACTGCTAGACCGATTTCCTCGCAACGATAAAAATAATGAGTAGTGCTTGGAACGTCAATCAAGGCCCATGCATCATGGGCTTTGGTGACAGGAGACTAGTCTTAGCTGACGATGTACGGTGCCTTAATGAATTTTGCGGCTCATTAGTATTTACAGATGCCACCTCAAACGGGAGCACAGAAAGACCATCGGTACAGATGACATCGCCGTTTCCGACTGCATCGATGCTGATTTCATGGCTAACGTTGCCGTAATCGAGAGAGTGTACCCATGCTGTTATAAAGACGCTAAAACCGCCACAACAGTTTACTGTGCTACACAGCTTGCATCAGTGGTCACCACCAATCACCACTGTTGCGGTTGAATTTGCCGATTCTTAAAGCTTCAACGCTCGATTAATGAGGACGACTTTATGAACATGATGGCGTGCAAAGGGTAAAACAAGTCCACAGACTATTTTTATGCGAAATAAAGTGTGCTAACTAGAAAAGGAGGTCACCTTTTCTTAAGCATACTGTAAGCAAATCTTCCTGCTAATGCATATTACAATTTCTGAAAGGCGTTTCGAGAAGTAATTTACTAATATAAACCTCAAATACAAGTATTTATTATATCGAATCATCGAACTATTTAGTGATCCCCTTCGAGTTTCATATATTCGGGATCGACTATGTCCAGTCCAAAGCACAGCCCCAACACTGCTTACCGTGTTGAAGCTGCTATAGTACTACTTCCAATGTGAGCATTTTATTGAATGTCGTGTATCAACTTTCTTATAAGTAATGCTCAAAATGCTTCGGTTACAGTGCAACCTATGGCATGAGCAGAATCCATTTCAGACAAAAACTTCTCACAAATGCATTAAGCAGTGAATGACATTTAGGCAAATTACAAAGTTTGTCCGTGTGGCATCACACGAATGTCATTATGAAGATGATGCATTTTTGCGACCACCTCTGTATTACCCTATGGTATCTGTTCTACACATTGGCGACGCTGCTGCAGCTAGGTCTTGAGCATGTGATATTTTAAAAATCAGGCTGCGATAGGCCATGCTATTCATATTCTTTTAAAATTAGTTCCACTTTAATTATACTTTCATTAACACAAGAATTGCAAGCAAGCTGTGGTATACCATAAAGCAGACAGGCACGACACAGTAGTATAGCTAGCCACACCAGCAATACCTTCATCCTTTGCTTCAGTAGTCTGTTCAGTCTCCTGCTTGGTAGCCTCCGCAGACACAGGTGCTGCAATGAGTGCCCCAGCATCACACCAAAGGTACCTCTCTCAATGGAGTAATAACTGTCGTAATTTGAGGAAAGCTTGCACTTATGGTTCTTAGGAAAGCTATTCCATATCCTTTCACTATTGCAAAAACGCAATAAATTTCAACAGTAATGTCTTTCCATTCTTATACTTGTTACTGAATGTTTCATTTTGGAAAACATTGGCTCTAACTGCAGATACTTAAGAGGAACCTGTTCATGCAAGACCACCTTTGTTTGCAGCAGCTAGGCTTATGCACACAGCTAGCAGCAAAAAAGACAAATCAAGAAAGGCTGATTAAATAACAGCCCTCCCAATTGCTGCAACAAAGCAATGAAAACTGAGGCCTTCAGACAGCATACAAATTATCTTAATTGATAACCACTTGGGTGAGCGAGACAGTTGTCACAAAACAAGCGCTCAAAAAAGGGCGCGCCGCCGAATCCTCGCGACGAAACGCCGGAGTGACGCCGCGAGGTCACGATAAAAAAAGAAAGAAAACAAGCATCCAAAGACTCCCCGGGCATGCGTCCTTCGTCCCTCTCCTGTCGGAAGCGTGGGTTCGCCGACGAACCTCCTCTCATCGACGCCCGAGCAAGCCCTCGAATGTTCTGGATGGAAAGGGGCGGGGTGATGTCGGGTTGCGTCATCCGTTGCGGACTGCCTTCGAACCGTCTCGCCCTTTCCCCCAGCCTTCGCTGCGCATCGCGCCGACGAAATGATGCGAACTTTCTGGAATCTCGCGCGGAAGGTATTTAATCGAGCAGCCGAGATGAGAGATCAGGAGAAGACAGAAGTTAGTGCCAGAGCGCGTAGAGATTCCGCCGCGTAGTCGGCGAAGGTTTTGTCCGTAGGGACAAAGCAGGAGGATTTCCACCTGAGGGGTGAAGGCTCGAGCTACAGGCAAGAGCGTGTGTCTACCGCTATCGAGCGAAGACGCGTGGCAACAGCTGCGTGTGTGAAGCCGACGTGTTTCCGGCGAAGAAGGTTGAAGCTTGGAGAGTGGCCAAGTGAAGATGCGAGGTTTCCTGGAAGAGAAACTTCAGGGGCAGCGGAACGACAACAACGCTGGACTTTGAGTGAGTGATTCTCGGAAGAGTATCATCCAGACTTTTGTTCCAAGAACTTTGGACTGAATAGGTTTTCTATCTCTCTAGTCTTTAAGTGTCTTGGTTGTTCAATGCATGCGACTGCATTGTAGTGCGTATTGTCTGTGTCCGTTGTTTTGAGTGTGGCTGATTGTACTGTGTAGTACGTTGTTTGATTGGCGACATATTGTACTCAAATATTGTGGAGTGTGCATACTTGTGTATTGTTTTTGATCTGCCATTATTGAGAATATAATTTTGTTTTGTTTATCAACTCTCTGCTCTGACTTGTTCTTTGGGCCACAGCCGGAGCCCGCTGGCGTGCCAAATAGGACCACTTCAAAATTGTCCACGCTTTCGTGGTGCGGTTCGGGGGGCAGATACTTTGGCCCTTGAAATTAGCCCGGCGATCGCCTCCCTAATTAACGGGACCTGTGACAACAATAAAGAGTTTTAATTATATTTAATCGAGCTTCATCTAAAATACAGCAGATTTTGTAAAAGTGAATTCAAAAGTATACGGGGACTTTCCTTTGCTCTAGCTACTCAAATTCTCTGGTCAATAAATAGATTACAGTCATGGGTTGTGCGACATTTTAGTTATGACCTATTCAGAAGTCTTACAGTACTTCATGATAGATACCTGCCTAAATTTATATACAGTGTTTCAGTTTGGGGAGGGGGCGTAAATTGAAGCGCATGGCATTGCAACGCGACGAACACTGCAGTCGCGTGCCAGCAGCCCTCACGCTTAAATGCGCTGGAAGGGGCGTAGTGTCAAACTGTGCGTGCTAGCTGCATTGTCAGACAGAGCGCAGAATTCATTGTTACTGTGGGAACTGAACCGATATTCGGTACTAGAAGTGCGACGCAACATTATCAACCTTTATTGGAGAGATTATGAAGAGTGGAAACTTGGGCAAGTTGATAGGACATAACTGAAAATACTAACAGTGTAACCTAGTAATAGTTACAGCGTAACTACTGAAGCACAAAACAGAGCACTTTCCTAGCTTTGTTTCCTGCTTCCATAGTTGAGCTGTAACTACTAGGTTGCACTGTTTGTATTCAGTTACTGGTAAGAATGGGGTTCTAGAAACTATTTGACAGCATACTTTGTTTGCTCTTTTTAAATGCCGTGGTACTGGTGCACGCATGTATATTTATTCACTGTGTTGTGCTACCACATATGCTGCACAAAAAAGCAATAACAATGAGCATGCACTCTGCATGGTTTTGACGCTAAAAAAATGCAAAGCACTCAACAGTGACTACCATGCAGTTATGAGAATTTAACACACTAAAACAAATGGGAATGAATTCACAAATGCTTTAAGTAAAGCCAACGACCTGAACGAACTTTTTATGACAGCCTTTCATTACTCCAGCCATGAAAATGCAGGCACCATGCTTCCAACTTCACATAATATGTGCATGTACCCAGTAGCACAACGTTTTGGAAGAGCAAACAATATGCTGTGAAAGTTTATTGAAACCCATCATCACCAATAAAGGCCGATATGTTGCCATCGCACGTTTTATTGCAGGGTATTGGCTCAATTCTCACACTGCCCGACAATACAGCCAGCACGTACCATCGTAACAGGTGGCGCGGTTCAACAGTGCACTCCTCAAGCATTTGCGCACGTGCAAGATGCTGCCGAAACGCGACTGCAGTGTGACGACACGTGCTCAGATTTTTTTTTTTCGTGTCAAACGTCACTTTGAAGCACTGACAAATTTACCCATGTCAAGATTTTTGTGTCAACGAGTAGCTATCGACCCCTCAATAGAGATTTGCGACCTAAAATGCAACTGAGGGACGAATAACCACTTGACTTATCACTGATATTTAGCACGACTTAAGATAGCCAGCAAGCCCATCATTTTTAGAGCTGGCAGCGCTTCCTCGCAGTCACCTTCAGATCGCACCACAGCTGACCACTTCTCACAAAAAATAGTGACGCGAGGCTCAGCTGCTTCAGACATTTCGCCTGCTAGGCGCAAACATTCAGTCATGCTTTGTCACCTGCATTGCAGTCGTCGCCATACAAAGAGTCGAGTAGAGTTGAATAAGACAGTCTGGAGCTTGGAATCGCCGAGACTCACAACGTCGCAAATCATTCTTGCTTCTATCGACCCTTTGCAGGACAAAGATTCCAAAATGGATGCTGTTCCAAACAGCGATAAGGAGGTACCCGAGGACGCATGCTTCATGTCTCAATTAGCTTTATTGGGGAGTTTTGGCGCGAACAGCATTCAGTATAAGCAAAGGGGTCAATGGTATAACGGTACAGGAAATGTGCTCCAGCGGAGAAATAGAATACATTGTCTGCTTCCCAGGTTCTTTGTTGCACCTCCACATGGCCCCACCTATACGGCCTCTCACGGTTGCAGTGGCAGTAACCCAGTATGACGCGGACACAGAAGTCTACAGACAAACTGAAATCACCAATAACGATGCCTGCGTTTTACTTGTTAGCGATAATATCTGTCTATATGCCACTCCACTTTGACAGCTTGTGGTCGTGTTGGTGTATAACATGCGTGTAATGAAAAAGACACCCTCGCTGCCCTTTTCCCGCACTTCCAAACAGACGACTACAACTCTGAACGGTTCCCCACATATGCCGACAGTTGAGCACACGTTGAATCATGCTTTTTTTTCCGCTGTTCTTTTGTAGACGGTTTGAGTCTTGTAATTTCACGAAATCATTCAAAGTGATGCAACGAATATCAGACATGAAAAGTGAGTGCATTTACAAGCTTTGGCACAGGTCTGCACCATGATAACAGTGATTGTAAACATGATCACTAATAGCGCATTGTCACTCGAGATAACGTGTGAAATGTATTTCACCGAATACGTAGCACTAGTGTCGATGCCGCAAGGCCCTCCATTTTCCACTGAGCTCTTGCGCGCTGTTTGCCGTCGAAATAAAATAACTTCCTTGTGACAGACTCAATTCAAATTTGGCCAAGAGGACAAAAGCATACCGAGCGATCGTATGAAGGGCACAGCTTTACACTGAAATTTGATGTCAGTGCTCCTTTAAAGGGGCCCTGCAACATTTCTTGAGCATGGTCAGAAAATGGTGCTGATCGGTGGTAAAGGCTCCCGAGAACACGCGAGCCAAATGTTATAGCACGGCACGCAATTCACAATAAATTATCAAAGTCACCTGAAATTGCTTTCTCTTCCTTCGACAAATGAGATACTCCAAAATCACTAGTAGAATGCCAATCTATCTCAGTGATTGGCCGATTTGAACACTGCACGCTCGTTCGTTACAGAGATCGCCACGGGAGGCAGTCACTTGTCTAGGTGTGCACGCGATTGAACTGAGAAAGTTGCGTGTTCGAAGAAAAAAGAAAAAGAAACTGCTTAAATCCATAAGGCGCGCATGACATTTGTTTGCCCCTCCCATCTCTCCCTGCTTAGCTTCCAGCACTTCTGTCGAGACGAGAGAAGAGAATGCGATTGCAGCGCATGACAAATTTTTGTAACTCCGCTCATATTGGACACATTCTTAACATTTTTGCGGCGTTGAATTTGTGAGGGAATAAGCTCCTCCAGTGAATTAATTCCATGGTTACTCGAACAAGTGTCTCAGGGCCCCTTTAAGACAGTAAAATTTCGCACTCTGTTCTGCATAGCAGCCATGTGGGCTACCTGGTAGCATAGCATTCGCACAGTGATAATTTCATAATGGAAGCAATTGTTACTTTTTTCACGTCAGTTAAACAGGAAGTTTAAGCATGAATGACTGACATGTGCAAACATGACACCAATGCTTGCAGCACCACAGATTTACGTTAAAATCTATTTTGCTCAAATAGCAATGCAAGTTTTGAGGAACAAGGGGCCACAACATCAGAGGCAATGCATTAGAATGCTTTGCAATGGTAGCAAATAAAAACAAAAGTAAAACACTGGGAGGACACTTGAGCTTTGCCTTCAAGAGTAGAATGTTGATAATGTCATCGGGCCCAGTTTGCATCGCCTTCTCAATCACTAGCGTGACTGCTTCTCAGTTGACACCTCAACCATATCGCAAGCAAAGCAATGTCTGCACATAATGTAGGTCATTTTAAAGCCTCCTAGAAGGTGTTCTACAAATACTATTCAAGTACCCAGGGCACCATAATGCTCCCTTTTTCAAACAAGGCAAGGTAACCACTATGTGACCGTAAGGCAACACAAGTACCAGCTCAGCCGCACACTTTCTTGATGGCATTTCTCTTGATGGTCATTGATTGTGACCGAGTGCTTTGTAATGAGTGGGCCTCTAAACCATCAACTCTTTGCACACTTCAAATGTTTAGATGCCTGGTGCCATTTTATGCCCTCATGTCACTCATTTTTCTTGCCCAAATCTGCTTGAGGCACTGGTGCGGCGGCTCTGTAGTGCAGCACTTGCCACAGACAGCCCGGGTTCGATTCACACTCGAGCGGAACATAGGTATTTACTTATTTGCGTTTAGTTTGAATTTCCACTCATGAAAACCGATATTTCGTTGAACCATCGACACCAAAAAAAAAAAAAAAAAACTGGCTTTCCAACTCAATCGCTTCATAAAGCAGTCACACTTGCTACGTACAAAAGTATCAGATATTCTATCAATAAAACATATTTGCGCTCAAAAAATGAAGTACTTATTACCAGGGGTTGATGCAGCCGCATTCCCTCCACCAGCACTTTCTTGGCCGTCAACAGCGTGACCCGTACTCTGAAACAATAATACGAGGGTCAAGCGTGAACAATGCTGCCGAAGCGAAAACGAACGTTCTAGCATAGCTAGGTCTTACCACGGGAACTCTCATGCACCAATGCGAACACACCGACTCAAATGGCATTACCCAACCGCAACTAGCGTCCCTGAATTCCATGCCCTGTTTTAACGCTCAACCGAAACAAAGGAAACGAGCGAACGATATGCCTCCCCGTCTTGTTCTGTAGACGTTGCTCCAATTTCACGTGGCGAAGCTGAAGTTGCACGCGGGCCCGCGTGCTGAGCTCCCACCCACTCCTGCGCATCGAGAACGCGTCGTTCGATTTCGGCAAGCGGGTCCCGCGCGCTGGTTCACGCCTTCATCTAGCAGCTGCCGGTGGCGTGAACCAGGCAAAACGCATTCTGAACCTAGAACGCAGCATAACACGTACAAGCCATAATGGGCGAAACTTTCAAGGTCTGTCCAGTGACGATAAGCGCGAAGGAAGCCCTTTCGCGTGTCGTCAGCAAAACTGGTGTGAAAGCCACGTTTCACCAATGCTTTCAAGTATTTGAAGTCAAGACAAATATACGAAACGGGTGTGATGCGGCGAGTTCAATAATTAGGAAGATTTAGAATAGCACACCGCGAGCCCTTGCGGTGCGGTCGCTGCCACTGAGCATGCGTCGTAACGCGTCTCCGGTCGCATTCGCGGCCAGCCTGCAAAAAATCCGAAATAGCGGCCTCGTGTGCGGGCCCGCAAGCGCTGGTTTTGAGGCTACGGTGTCGCTGCGATTGTGCGTTGTGGTTTGCAGGAGGGAAAACGTATTCTAAAGCTCATATGGCGCCCGCTATGCCGGCGACGCCAGCACGTTTCCCTCGCGGTAGGCGGACCACGCGGACCACGGCGACGGTGGCACAGAGTAACGATAGTTATAGCGCGAGAAAAAAACGACGACACAGAGACAAGAAGGACACGAAAGCTCTGTGTCGTCGTTTTGTTCTCGCGCTATAACTATCGTCATGCCATACCAACTAGCCCAAGCTGCCACAGTTCTAAGTTACACAGAGCAAAGTTGCGTACAGAACGCGCGTTGCGTTACGTGCCCTTACCTCGCTCGCAGCAGGCTGTTTCGTATCCACGTCCTTTTCGGGACCCATATCCGTTCTGTCAGATGGAGACAAGTGAGCTCGAACTACGCTACAATGATCCCTCCAAATATGCGGGCTGTGAACTGCTGCTAGTGGAACTCCTCTACGCTGATTGTGGGAAGTATGGGGTATGGGCACAGAATACCTACCAGTGGACAGTGGTATGGGAAGTGCACATGGAAGTGCATCACGGGAACTAGAAAATGCGGTGCTCACGCTCATGACCTACTACACTCCTGACCTGTTCAGATAGCGGGGTTCCTATGGGAGCGCGTGTCCCCGCTCTCGTTCAATCGCTCGCCGTAGGTGGCGCTACCTATAACCTGTTCGTCTGCTACTGTGCGGCCGGCAGGAGGGCGACGGACTGATACCATGCGTCTGCTTCTGTGACAAACTGCCTATACGTGTGATTGTTTTTTGCTGAAAAGGCTAACGTGTGCTATGTGTTACATTTTAGTAGTTAGGCTATACTGGTTGATTGACTTCTAAAGCTGTATATTTGCGTAGAAATGTCTTGCTGCATGGTTGTTTTTGCCATTCCAGCCTAAAAAAACACACACACACACACACACACACACACACACACACAGAGAGACAAACTGTGGAGGCAGCACGTAAATATTTCATATCATTAATTTTTTTATGGATTTCGGCGGCATTTGTTGAGGCAGCCTTCGGGAAGGGTGCTCGAACCCCTCGCAACCCACCGCTACGCATTTTTACATAATTTACAGATTTCGTATATTTACTTTTTTCTTGTGTGCTATATTTAAATTTCTTGGCACTATTTGTGGAGCCTGCCATATTAGCCGCGGTACTTTAAAAAAGCTTTCATGTTTTTTAGCTCAGTGAATTAGCATAACACACGGAAATAAAGTTTACTAAAGCACCCTGGTGCTTCTTGCTAGCTTGCAACTCGTTCTGAATTGAAACGACTCTCAAAAACACAAGACTCACCTTTTCTTCCAATTGCCTCGATCCATTCTTCCCGTATGTCTGTGGCAGGAAACTCGTGAAAACTTACTTTACTTTGTTTGCCTTGTTCCGATTTGCAATATGGCACGCAGCAATACACCATACTTACATTTGAGGTGTCAGCTCATCTAAAAAAAAAAAACTGCACGCGGCCACTATTAGAGCTGACTACTGCAGCTATCTGCCGTCTGCAAGTTTCTGCACACGACCTACTGTGTTTCTGCGTATCTTCTGCAATTTGTGTATGCGTATCGTCTGGAACCATCGTGATTCAGTGTGAACAATGAATGCCTAACAATAGTTTTTTTATCTCGTTGGACTACGTTTTCATTCAAGAAATATTTTCATAATAAATTTTCCTTCATTTGTAGAAAAGTTCCCGTCTGCTTGCCACTGTGACCCTTTGTGTGCTTTTTTTACGGTTCTATTTCTGCTTCAAACGTCCACACGAATGCAGCCAACTCTGACGAGGAATCATATCGCTTTATTTGCCATATTTTACACATTCATACACAATTCATGCACAATAAGAACGATTTGCACTGCCACAGCGATGGCTGAAGCAGACGACAGCGAACAGGTGCTGCCTAGCGCCACGCCGCTCGTAGGTGACGGCCCTAGCGGCAGAAGGTATGAACTAGAACGTGGGCGCTGGAAGAGGTGCTCTCTGGGCAGGTCAGGAGTGTAGTAGGTCATGCTCACGCTCACGTGCTTGTCAAGCTTGGCTTGGCTTGTAATCACGCTTAGCCAACGCCTCCTCTAGGAAGATGCCTGCCGCATGAGAAACAAAACAGCTGCCACACCCTTTCTCTCCTTTATTTTGAAAATGTTCTCGGTCGCTAGCGTCACTTGTGGCAGACGGTGCAACAACGCAACACTTTGCATAGGCTCCGAAACAGTAACGCACAGTTGCAGGAGGTCTCGAACAACTCTCGACTGACGCGCCCCTAAGGGCCGCAGATGAAAAACACTTAGCTGGTACCGCCCGTCGACGTGATAATAGTCTTGGTCGCGAGCGCCACCGCGCGGCGCTTGCTCAAAACTGAAGGCAGGCCAGCTCCGCTGGGAGCGTGAGCCATTCCCCAGGCATTGTTTAGAGGAGGCGTTGGCTTAGCTCACCTTTGGGCATAGCCTCCTCTATCTTTGGGCTTTCGTATTGGCAGCATTAGTGACCCCATGTCGGCTTTGGCGTGCGCGTGCGCCAATTTTATCGTTGGCAGCTGGTGTAGCCGGAGCGAATAGAACGCGGCGCAGATCATGTTAGCGACATACCTTTCTTCTCGTGCCTTTTCGTCGTCTTCTATCGCGCGCACAGCTATTAAGCATGTTGTTATCGTCGGAGGTGGGTCCATGGGAGCCGGGATTGCGCAGGTAGTACATATAGATTGGTTAACTGTTGTTACATTGACCAGAGCAAGGTCATCGAACCGTTCTTCGCCATGGATATTGTGTTGTTTGCCACTGATTGCAAGTTTAAAACTTGCGCGTTTTGCGAAGAGTATAGTCTCCGACAGTTTGCATCTTATGTGCCTTAGGTCGCCTCCCAAACGGGCCACCAGGTTGTCCTTGTTGACGTCTCGAAGGAAGTCCTCGACAAGTCCAAGGCTCGCATCGAGGAGAGTCTGAAGCGGGTTGCGAAGAAAAAATTCGTTGAAGACAAGAAGGTGCGCTTGTTTGCTAAAAGTGTGCATTATTTTGTGTGATACTTTTCTATTTGGCAGTGAGAATCCTGAAAGCTTAGCTTTCTTCAGATCTGTTCGGTGTAAATATTCATTATTGCTGCGTTAAAACTGCTGTCTATGGCCTAACCTTCCCCATACTATGGTTCATCACTTTGAGCAATGTTCTCGGTTTTAATTGTAGCAGTTTAATTTATGGTGATCATTCGTAATGGTTTCAACTCTGAGAAAAAAATTCGACCTCTAGTTTCTGCAGTATGTGTGCCAACAGCTTGTTGCAAATTTCATAAATGAACAAGTAATTCTCATATTACACCCAATATCGACACAGAAAAACAAAAACGGGTTATTTGTTTGCTGGCCTAAACACCAATGTTGCAACGAAGAGCTTTCCAAGAATAACAAGTCCTCTTTGCTGGCATCAGACTTTTGAAATGACTGAATCTAAAATTCATGCGCACATGAGAAAGCACACCGAGCTGTTGAGCCCAAAGGGTTCCTGAACCGTGTTTTCAAGTAATTAATTGACCTCAATATTAAAGGGGTTCTGCATCGGCAGCCGAGGCTCCTGAGAACACACGAGTGAAATATCATAGTGCAGCGTGCAGCCTGGAATCCAGAATTAATTCTCAAAGGCAGATAAAAATTGCTTTCTCTTCACTAATGCTATATACTGCGGAGATAGGTTTGCTAGAAAAGCGATCGTAAAAGGACGCAATGTTCTCTACTGCGGTAGTGTGTGAAGACAATGCGAATGGGTTCCTCAACTCTTGACATGGCGGAGAAACTCCATTCGAAGCAGGTTGTCAACAAACTGGTTTTATGATCCAAGATACAGCACAGTGCAACAATCATGATTGTGCGCCTTTGGGTAACTTAGCAAGACCAATCAAGCACACCTGCTTGCAACTCAACGGTTACCACTCAAAAGGGAAACCGCCGAATCATGAACGAGAAGTCGCCCGCAAAGGCTGAGCATGACTTCTTCCTTGCAAGCATCTAATCTACGGCGACCAAGTGCCGGTGAGAAGAACGCTTCAAGTGGAGAGGGAAATCTCACTGGCAAATGAGCACAAGCATGTACAGGGGCGTGTTCTAGCATGCCGTGCGCATGAGCGGCGCAGGGCCAGTGCAGGCGCTAGCGGGGAACGGCCAATGGGGAGGGCACCTTGATCGTGACGTCACAGGCCCAAGTATTATGCCATTAGCTGATTTGAGCATGGTGCGCTCAGGAGTTATTAGGGCCGCCCTGGGAGACCGCCACGTGTCCGCGTGATCAGACTAAAAAGCCACGCATTCAAAGAAAAAAAAAAAGACTGAGAGAGAAAGTGCTAAAGGTTACGAAGCGCACGTGATGTCACTTCTTCCCTTGTGAGATCCCTCCCTGCTTAGCTTCCAGTGCTTTCATCGAGAAGAGAGAAAGCTATTGCAGCGTTTGACAAAATTTTGTAACTCCACTTGTACTGGACGGATTCTTAAAACCTTTGCGGTGCAGAATTCGTAAGACAATAAGCTCCTTTAGTGAATGCATTTCATAGCTACTCAGAAAATTATTGC